TCCAGCAGCTCTCTGCCAGGCCTTCTAAGCTGAAACTACCTAGCCTGTCTCTTTCTAGGCCCTGCCACCCCCCAGCTGGCAAGGTAAGGGATCTTCACAACCATCCTGTCATGCTTCATTGCATCAAATCATCCAGTCATGCTGCATCGTCCTGTCTTGTTGGAAACATCACCATGGATTATCTCTCTAAATTACTAAGGATCTTGTAAGCATGTTTTTCCAAGCTAGTCTAAGGCCAGTGAACAGTCTACTGGATCTGCAAGCCTTTTTCTTGAATACTGGACACACAAATGGTATAAAAGAGTCCATTTTGCAGAATATGGAACACATGCACACACACTTACGCACATAAGGGACAGACAGAGAGACAGGCAGAGGAAACAAAGGAGGACAACACAGAGCCCATGACCATGTCACCATCCCAATGCCAAAAAGTTTTTGTGACCCTTGGAATCCTTGCTGGATTTGCCTTATTAAACACAAAAATGCAATTTAGTGAAAAGAAGTCCATGTCAAATAAGTTTGTGCCACTAAATCTTAGCTCATGTGAGGCTGTAGCCATGGCAGAATCCAGAAATGAGCTAAAATTGTCACCATTGCTTACTAAGGTTTTTTGGGAGCAACTAGAGACTTTTCATAACAATAGCACCAGTCTATGAAAGAGTACTTCAAGAAGGATCTCCCCTCCTTCCAATTAATTGCGATAGAAATATGAGTAAGTTTTATGCTTCTTGCAGAACCTGTCAGAAGTCATGCTTTGGAAGGTGAGGGGAGAGACACTGTCTACCAGGAAAAATCAAATCAAGTACAGAGTGCATGTCTCAAAACTGTGTAACTTGACAAATACGCAGTGGGTTTCTAATAAATGCCTAAGCAGGAGGAGCAATTCTTCTTGCTATTCAACTACAAATCCAGCATTTCATATTTATTTATTTATTTATTTATTTATTTGCTTTATTTCTATACTGCATTTTTCAGCCTAATTAGGCGACTCAATGCGGTTTACACAATACAGGTTATCACAATAATATCCTAAGCAATTAAAACACATCATACACAACAGACAAAATCAACAATCATTATCATATCATAACGCCTCAATAACAAATCAGAATCCGTTCTCATAATCCATGTACCATTCCTATGTTCAATTTTACCGTCTTCCTGTGTTCAGTTGCACTGTTTAGCCAAACGCTTGTTCGTAGAGCCAAGTCTTAACCTTCCTCCAGAACGCCAGCAACGAAGGGGCCTGTCTGATGTCTACAGGTAAGGCATTCCATAGCCGAGGGGCCACCACCGAGAAGGCCCTGTCCCTCGTCCCCACCAACCGTGCCTGTGACGCAGGCGGGACCGAGAGCAGGGCCTCCCCGGACGATCTTAATGTCCTAGTCGGTTCATAGGTGGAGATGCGTTCGGAGAGGTAAGTGGGGCCGGAACCGTTTAGGGCTTTATAGGCTAACGCCAGCACCTTGAATTGTGCCCGGTAGCAGATTGGCAGCCAGTGGAGCTGGCTCAACAGAGGAGTGGTATGCTCCCTGAGTGCCGCTCCCGTTAACAACCTGGCTGCCGAGCGCTGGACCATCTGAAGCTTCCGGGCAGTCTTCAAGGGCAACCCCACGTAGAGCGCATTGCAGTAATCTATGCAGGATGTAACCAGAGCGTGGACTACCGTGGCCAAGTCAGACTTCCCAAGGTACGGGCGCAGCTGGTGCACAAGTTTTAATTGTGCAAATGCTCCCCTGGATACCGCCGAGGCCTGGGGTTCCAGGCTTAGCGATGAATCCAGGGTCACACCCAAGCTGCGAACCTGCGTCTTCAGGGGGAGTGTAACCCCGTCTAACACAAGCTGTAACCCTATGGCCTGTTCAGCCTTTCGACTGACCAGGAGTGCCTCTGTCTTGTCTGGATTCAGTTTCAATTTGTTAGCCCTCATCCAGTCCGACACAGCGGCCAAGCACCGGTTCAGGACCTGAACAGCCTCCTTAGTAGTAGGTGGGAAGGAGTGACAGAGTTGGACATCATCTGCGTACAGATAACACCGCACCCCGAAACTCTGGATGATCTCTCCCAGCGGCTTCATGTAGATGTTAAACAACATGGGGGACAGTATTGAACCTTGTGGGACCCCACAAGACAATGGTTGTGAGGACGAGCAGTTGTCCCCCAGCAACACCTTCTGGGTACGATCCTCTAGGAAGGACCTGAGCCATTGCAGAACAGTGCCACCAAGGCCCATTCCCGCGAGGCATCTCAGAAGGATACCGTGGTCGACGGTATCGAAGGCCGCTGAGAGGTCCAGCAGAACCAACAGGGACACACTCCCCCTGTCTAGCTCCCGCCGGAGATCATCCACTAAGGTGACCAAGGCTGTCTCGGTACCATGTCCCGGCCTAAAGCCAGACTGTGCCGGATCCAGATAATCCGTGTCTACCAAGAATACCTGGAGTTGTGAGGCCACCACACGTTCCAGGACTTTGCCCAAAAAGGGGAGATTGGAAACAGGCCGATAGTTGACGAATTGAGTGGGGTCCAGTGATGGTTTTTTCAACAGCGGTTTTATTACAGCTTGTTTTAAGCTGGCTGGAATTTTGCCTTCCCGGAGGGAGGCATTAACCACCACCTTCACCCACTCGGCCAATCCCCCTCTGGCCTCCTTTAGAAGCCAGGATGGGCAGGGGTCTAGGATGCACGTGGTTGCTCTAATTCCTCCAAGTATCTTGTCCACATCCTCGGGTTTCACCAACTGAAATGAATCCATCAAAATCGGACAAGCAGGTGCTCGTGTTACATCCTCAGAGACCGCCGTTTCATAGCATTGGGCTATTGGGTTAAAGTGGTTTAATTAATTCTACAGTGTAGGTACAGATGCACCCTCTATTTTTTAAAGAAATCCCAACAAAACCATAGTGTAAGAGACCTGCTAAACATCAATATACGAGGTTTGAATGAAAGTAATGCCTCCACCTTCGTAACTCCTCAACAGGTGGCAGTACTGGTATGCAGCAGATACTGGCTTGTTCAGTAGACTCTCCTCTACAGTTCCATTTTGGTGGGAAACCTTAGCTTTGAATGGTTGTGTTGTTGAAGTGCAAAGTATGGAACCCTGCGCAGACGGTTGATCAATGCAACTTAAGCAACGTGCAGTCATTGAATTCTTGACAGCAGAAGGTGTCACCCTAAAGGAGATCATCAGAGAATGCAAGCTGTTTATGGTGATTGTGTTGATGTGAGTACCGTGCATCATTGGGTGAGAAAGTTTAAAGATGTTGAGGTGGGAGCATCTGATCTGTGTGACAAGCAAAGAGTTGGATGTCCTGTGACAGCAACCACTGAGTTTCATAAGCGAAAGGTTGATAGATTGAGTTATGATGATAGAGAGAAATTTCAATCATAATTGGCATTTCACAAGAACATGCGGGTCACATTATTGCTTTGCTTGGCTATTGGAAGATCTATGCACAATGGCTACCCAGGATGCTGAGGCCTGAAATGAAAGTGCACACACTTGAAACTTCAGAGACTGGATCTCACCACTGTATGACATCCTCCATACAGTCCAGATTTAGCACCATCTGACTTCCATCTGTTCCTGATAATGAAAGAAGATCTGCGGGGACATCATTATGCTTCTGATGAAGACATTGAGAGAACTGTGAGACGCTGGTTGTGGAAACAGAGTGTCAACTTCTTCCGTGATGGCTTCAGAAAACTTGTTCATTATTGGCAGAAATGTATCCAATTGTCTGGTGAGTATGTGGAAAAGTGAATAGTGGTAGTTAAAGAGCACATTCTAAGGATTATTTCTGCATTTGATTTATTAAAATATTCCCATCCAAACCCAGGTAATGAAGGTGGAGGCATTACTTTTCATTCAACCTTCGTATAATTCCTGATGTTCCCTTTGTTCTTAGGAATGGAGTCTGCTGGTGTCCATGAAGCTACATATAATAGCATCATGAAATGTGATATTGATATCCGCAAGGATCTCTATGCTAATAATGTGCTCTCTGGAGGAACCACCATGTACCCTGGCATTGCTGACCGTATGCAGAAGGAGATTACAGCTTTGGCTCCAAGTACTATGAAGATCAAGGTAAATACTGTAACTAATTCTTAACATTTATTTAATAAGCTGAAATCCAGTTACTCGTCTCACCTAATAGGCACACTGAATCTATCACACTGAATGATACATTAACATTTGTGATTCAGTGGGTCTACTCTAGTAGAGACTTTGGCTTGATTTAGATCTAAATATATAAAATATTTCTGTCAACAATAACTAGTATTTATAGTTGCTAATAGCAATAAAACTAACAGCAAATTTTTTTTAAACACAAAAGCAATTGGAAACACAATTTAAAGGAACACATACTTAAAAGAAGTAATAGCGCTCAGCCAATTAAAAATCCTTCAGCAGCACTAGTTTGAATATTTAAAACTTAATTTAAATAAAAAGGTCACCAGCAAGAGGACAAACTAGAGGAGATTTGCTTGGCCTTCCTGGACAAAGAGTCCCAGAATCTGGAAGCAGCCACTGACAACTTCATTACATGGATGAATTTCTCTGCTTCTCCACACTGCTGGGACGGAGGCTCCCAGAGTCCAACAAATGCTGCAGAACTACTTCTGTCAGGGTGCTCTTGGACTATGTGCCAGCAGCATTCTGGCAGTGCTGAGAAGTGGAACCCAGAGGAGTCAGTTATACATCCAGCTCCTGATAGAAAAATCCAAGGAGGGCACAGCAGAAAGTCGGTGACAGTGGGCAAACATTGTGGGAAGGGATTCACTAAGCGTTACACTGTCCCACTCTTTCCCCTGCTGTCCCCTGGCTTCCCGACCTCCATGTGATGAGTTTCTTAGATAATACCTTTTGTGTCAAACATACTTTCAAGGCTGGTTGGCGATGGGGTTGGGGGGGTAGGAGTGAATAATATGGTTTTTTCCAAAAATCTTAAGAACTGGGAGAATTTTAGACAACTAGCATTGCCACTTTTACCAGAAAAAAAAGTAGTCAGCAAAGTGATTATAATAAGTGATTAATATGCTTGCTGGTGAAATTTTTGGCTTCAACATTCTATATTTGCTGGAGGTTCTGAACCCTTTTTAAAAAGATAAACTCAATTTGAGTACATTACAGGACATACCTAAGGCATGTGCCACCACAGCCAGGTCTGACAGGGTGCGGTTGCTACTAATGGAAATTCACTTGTAAGCTATCACCAGAATCTGGGCACCCAGGTTCAAGATTAAATCCGAGTGTACACCTGAACTGTGTGCTGAGCCTTTATATTTCATTTAATGCAGGTTGACTCTATATCCCCTGATCTGCCCTTTATCTGATCTGGCTTATTTTATGGCATTTCAGTTTGTTAATTTGCAACTAGTCTGTTACTCAGGATGCATAGGGTTTTCTTAGACAAGGAATATTCAGATTTGGTTTTGCCAGTTCTTTGTAGAGGTCTTTAATGTGACTGTAGTAAGAAATCCTGCTACCTAACTTATACATTCTCCTCTTTGTTCTCTATTGTCTTCTGTAGATTATTGCACCACCAGAACGTAAATATTCAGTTTGGATTGGGGGCTCCATACTGGCATCTCTGTCAACCTTCCAGCAAATGTGGATTAGCAAAGATGAATATGAAGAGGCTGGTCCCTCCATTGTCCACCGCAAATGTTTTTGAATGTTTTTGAGATTTATTGTAAGGGATATCATATGGTGTTTTCCGGCATAATTTCTTGAAGCATAGTTGCCTTCACTGCTTTTGCTGAAGACATAATGAAAGGTCATGTTGATTGTGAAGATGTCAATTCTGGATGCAGCCAATTTTGCATTCCACTGATATGGGTAACTTTGAATGGGCAGCAACTACATAAAATGTAATTCAGTTACTCTCCAAAATTTTAAACTAGTTTTTGAGAAGATAAAGTGTGTAGAACACTCTCAATGTTGTTGGAGTGCAGAATCAGATATGATACTTCATGCTCTGTAATGAAAGGGAGAACCAGTTTCACCCAAATCAGTCTGTCGGCCATTCAGTCACTATGGAGCTGATTCTCCCTTCCTTTGGGTGCATGAACACTGTGGAATTAATGCAGTTTGATACAACTTTGTCATGTCTCAATGCAATGGATTCATTGGGAGTTGTATGCTTCCAAGGTCTTTATCCTTCTCTGGCAAAGAGTGTTGATGCCCCACCAAATTACAACTCTCAAGTTTTCACAGCATTGATCCATGGCAGTTAAAGTAGTGTCAAGTAGTGACCAGTATCCAAGTGACAAGTAGAGACTAGTATCAAAGTTAAATTTGGTAAGATCAGATAATAATAATAATAATAATAATAATAATAATAATAATAATAATAATCTTTATTTAATATATTGTCGAAGGCTTTCGTGGCCGGAATCATTGGGTTGTTGTAGGTTTTTTCGGGCTATATGGCCATGTTCTAGAGGCATTCTCTCCTGACGTTTCACCTGAATCTATGGCAAGCATGCTCAGAGGTAGTGAGATCTTGAGGTAGTGAGGTAGTGACCTCACTACCTCTGAGGATGCTTGCCATAGATGCATGTGAAACGTCAGGAGATAATGCCTCTAGAACATGGCCATATAGCCCAAAAAAACCCTACAACAACCCAATCTTTATTTACATCCCACCACCATCTCCCTGAAGGGACTTGGCGTGGCTCACAAGACACATGTAACATATAATAGGTAAAAATGGTACAAAAGTATAAAACAAGTCACATAAAATTATAACAACAAATCCCATCAACACATGTAGCATAAAAACAAAATAATACAATTTTAAATAATACAATTTTAAAACAACAGTAGATTAAAAACTGCCGTGAATCTAAGCAGGTAGAGTCAAAGGTAATGATGGTATGTGCACTGTTCTAACCACTGGTGCCACATTGGTTGTCAGCATGTTACATAATTGTTTCTTTTCCATACCTTTTTAGCAGGAATGCAGACCAGAGTAAAGCTTTTGTAATGGGCATTTTCATAAGTATCTAGTTAATCTACTTAGCACGTTCTGCTTTTTCTTTTACAGTGCAAATAATACATGTCTACTCAGAAACATGTCTCAGTGATGTCGACAGATTTACTCCTAAAGAATCATATACAGGGCTTCAGACTGAATGCCTTTTCTGATACTGCCCTTATGAAGGAAAAAGTGGTTGCTAAATAAGTTATTTTTTAATATTCTATCATAACCATTGGTTTTTTTTAAAGGAACACACAATTAGCCATGTAATGCTAATTTGATTTGCATTAATTGCATAGCAACTGGTTGATCTATTAAATAGATATGAAAAAGCCACCATAAGTTTCTGTTTTGATTTGTTTATGAAAATTTCTCAGGTAAAGTGCAGTGAATTCTTAACAAAAAACCATCTTGAAACAAATTATGTAGGAAACAAAATCGTCCTGGGTTTGAGTAATGCAGCGAAACCCAAGCAGGCTAACAAGCAATAGATCAATGAACAATACGATGTTTATCATCGTTACTTCCATGCCAAAGAAGCTCAGAAACAAGCTGTTTAAAATTGTGGTATGTGTGTATAGATCTATAAATAAGGCACATGCAACGTGTGCTTGAAGAAATGGTTTTTGTGGTGAACAGCCCTAATGTATCATCATCTATAGTCAAGCCAGTTGCTGACTAGTGGTGGTTTACATGTGCTGTTCATGTTGTTTTAACAAGGACTTTTACTTTAACAAGAAACTCAAAAATACTTCCCACACACTCAGATAATAGTGAGGAATTCCTGTTAGTAAAGAGAGGTTTCATCTCATTTAATCCCAGTATTTGGGAGAGATGTAAATTCTCACTAACAAACTGTGTGCTCTGAAATTTAGATTAATATCCAAGTTGGGAGCCTTCAAAAAGGGTGTCTGGAATCCCACGCAGACACTTAGGGGCCCATACTGAGAGAAAATAGGGGTATTAAACCAACCAATGAACAAATCAATCAATACTGGAAATGCATTAAAGATGTGAGCTTTGCATCATTCTCATGTTACTGACAAATTGACCAGAATTCTATTGATAGCAGACGTCATTTACTGTTGATAGCAGTAAATGAATTGTTGCTGTGATATTGCAAAATCACTCCATGGTTACAACTGCACAGTGAAGGATGTTGGACCAGAGTTCCTATGTAACCTATTGTAATAATAATAATAATAATAATAATAATAATAATAATAATAATAATAATAATAACAACAACAACAACAACAACAACAACCTCACAAACTCTGGGGATGCTTGCCACAGATGCAGGTGAAACATCAGGAGAGGATGCTTCTAGAACATGGCCACACAGCCCGAAAAACCTACAACAACCCAAGAATAATGATGATGATGATGATGATGATGTTTATTTATATCTTGCCCCCTCTCCCCAGGGTACTCATGGCTTACAACATAATAATACAATAAGTAAAGTAAAGGTTTCCCCTTGACATTAAGTCTTGTTGTGTATGACTCTGGGGTGTGGTGCTCATCTCTATTTCTAAGCCGAAGAGCCGGAGTTGTCCATAGATGCCACCAAGGTAATGTGGCCAGCATGACTGCATGGAGCACTGTTACCTTCCCACCAGAGTGGTACCTATTGATCTTCTCATATTCACATGTTTTTGAACTGCTAGGTTGGCAGAAGCTGGGGATAACAGCAGGAACTCACCTTACTCCCCGGATTTGAACCGCTGACCTTTCGGTCAGCAAGTTTAGCAGCTTAGTGATTTAATCCACTGCACCACCAAGGGTTCCAAATACAATAAGTACACTACAATAAAATACAAAAAATGGAATAAACCATTAATAACACATCATAAAACACAAAATACATCTGTAGACAACTGAGGAGCGAATTGTCATTTTTTTTATAGCACAAACCAATGCTGCAAATGTGAACTCTTAACAGTACCTATTCAAGATTTATTTCTGAATACTAACTCTTAGGATCATAGTATCTATTTTTCACATTTCTATTCTTTGCATTTTAAAATATTTTCGAATGATTGAAATGACAAAAAAATAATTATTCTATGACTTTTTGCCATTCAACTTTCATTCATTTTAGTACTGACATCTGGAGCAATGGCTCCATTGGGATGCACATTTTCAGAAGTGAATTTTAAAAGGACATATGCCGGGTGCCCTGAGGAATAAATAAAGGGGTCAAATATGCTGCTGAACATTCCTTTGCCACACAGTATGCCAACATGTGCTGGAAACTTTTACTTTGAATTATTTATACTATTTGCTATTATTTATGTGACTGGGAAAATGTTCTCAACTGCGGATAGAGCGATAACTGTGTTGACGTTAGATGTTTTCATGCCTGAAGTGAAGTCGCAATTATGCCCTTCTTTGTTCTGTGCATTGGAACTCTATTTTAATGTCACACATAGATAAATATTATGGGCAGAGAATTTGACCCTCCCCTCACAAACCGACTGCCTGGAGCAGTTGCTTCACATTGTTTCATAACAAGGCTGTGCCGGACTGGTAATACAGTACACTGCAAAATTTGACAGATTCTGTACAGTGTTCCCTGCCTCTGGCCAATTTATAAAAGAAATGGCTGGTTAAAATTAGTATCTTGACAAGGAGAGAGAAGGAAAAAAGCAGCTAAAGAGTATTGTCCCATCTAAAAAAATAGTCATTTTAAAAATGCTATTATATTTTTGAAGCAGTCCAAAAACAGCATTTTTTGTCTCCCCCCCCCCCTCCCGGAGGCAATTCATTTCACTGTCAAACACCTCTTACCATCAGGAAGTTCTTTCTAATGTTTAGATAGGATCTCTTGACTTCCAATTTGAATCCATTGGTATATGTAAATCAGTGGTTCTCAATCTTCCTAATGTTGCGACCCCTTAATACAGTTCTTCATGTTGTGGTGGTCCCAACCATAAAGTTATTTTTCTTGCTACTTCATAACTCTAATTTTGCTACTGTTATGAATCGTAATTTAAATATCTGATATTCAGGACGTATTTTCATTCACTGGACCAAATTTGTCACCTGATAACCCAAATTTGAATACTGGTGGGATTGGGGGGGATTGATTTTGTCATTTTGGAGTTGTAGTTCCTGGGATTTATAGTTAACCTACAATCAAAGAGCATTCTGAACTCCACCAATCATTTAATTGTACCAAGCTTGACACACAGAACTCCCATGACCAGCAGAAAATGCTGGAAGGGTTTGGTGGGCATTGACCTTGAGTTTTGGAGTTGTAGTTCAGCTACATCCAGTGAGCACTGTGGACTCAAACAATGATGGATCTAGAACAAACTTGGCACAAATACTCAATATACCCCAATGTGAACATTGGCGGAGTTTGGGGAAAATAGACCTTGACACTTGGGAGTTGTAGTTGCTGGGATTTATAGTTCACCTACGATCAAAGAGTATTCTGAACACCACCAGTGATGGAATTGTAGTAATCCTGGCACACAGAACTCCCATGACCAACAGAAAATTCTGGAAGGGTTTAGTGGGCATTCACATTGAGTTTTGGAGTTGTACTTCACCTACATCCAGAGAGCAGGAGGAGGGCTTTTGTTGGGAGGATTTGCCATCTGTTTCCAAAAAGGAAGAGAAGGACAGACAGAGAGATCTTCAGCCTTCTCTGCCAAGGAGGTTCCCAGGACCATCAGAAATATGTGTTTTCTGGTTGTCTTTGGTGACCCCTCTGAACCCCCCCCCCCCCACAACCACCCCCTAGGGGTCCTGACCCTCGGGTTGAGAAACACTCGTGCAAACTGTAATGGGAGCAGGATTACTGTATCTTTGGCTGTGATTTACTGCATGATGTTGCCCTTGTGCTGCTCTCTTGGTGGAAGATAGT